ACCCGCTTCACACAAGCGGCCATGGGATGAAACAGCTGCGATTGAAGAAGTCGAAATGACGATTTCAAACCGTCTGTGTGGTGGATATCATGAGAGGTCTCGACTGCTTAGTAGCAAACCACCTCGCTTCAAAGGTATGGAGACCATGGCATCCACACAGCGTTCATGCAGCAATTTTGTTGGCTGGTCACAGAGCTACCAGGCTGTTGGGTGTTTTTGAGGAAGGCCTCCTTTCAAGCTTTCTTGTGGCGCGTGTTTCGACCCACATCCAGCTGACACATTCGACCACATTCGACGAGAATCTCTCAATACTGCCATTCTGATTCAACAACCTGTCGATATAGTCGTCGACGTCCAAGTTTTTCACGATTAAGGTGACCGTGACTGTGCCCACAAAGCCAAGCTCCTGAAGATAAGGTAAAAATGAGAGGTGAAGAAGCAGGGGCCACGTGCAAGTGATTGGCTCCAACAAAAACACTTGGTTGAACTGAATTGATGTCCTCTTTCCTGGGCCAGTTTTAACCTGCTTCCACCATAACTTCCAGCTGTTCGCTTTTGGTGGAAAACCAAGCCCCCCAAAAGGTTTATTTAAGGTTATCCACGTTTCGTGGTTAGCGTCTCATGAGGTTCTTTTCCACCAGAGATCTTTGGGGAGCTCCTCAAGGCACACATCTAAGTCATGAAAGGAAGCCACTTAAGCCCTGTTCCCGCCAAGGATTGAAACACCGCCAAGGTGGAATTGGACCGTCCCGTCCCTTTCTGGGCCAAGAACTCAGTCCAACTTGAGCTCTCTCCCTGCTACATGTCGGTGCTCTAAGGTCTCCTTGGCTAAATCCTAATATAGAAAGACTTGTTTTGATGCGATAGTTCCTAACTGATTGGTTTGTCAATTTGTGGCTGTTCAGCTCCTGACACTGGCAGTCAGAAACTCTAAACTTGAGCTCTCTCTTTGCTATTCAGTATTCTGAGGAGGTCCGTGATTCTCCTCCCTACAGTTGCTTTAAAATCTGAAAAGAATGTTGAGGCTGTGTTTTGGTGCATCTCTTCCCAGAATGCCGTTAACCAATCCTCTTTAGTTTCGGCAAAAACTTATGCGCAGCGTACGCTTGGCCCAACCACCCAAACCTAAAGCGCTCAGGGTGGTCAACCCCCATGCCCCCCCCACTCTGGGAGGAGTCAAGAAAAGCAAGAAGATTTGATAACAAGAAGATGCCTGAGGGCTCCTTTTGTCATTAAAAAAGGACTGTCGTTATTAAGAGGTACCCTGAACAAGAAAACAAGAACGAAGATTGTTTGAAAACGATCCCCTACAGCGGAAGATGTCCCACAGATTGTATTTACAAACAATAAGGTGTCACCGAAGGATGAACGGCATCCGCTAAGCCAGCGGAATGTAGTGAAAAAATGAAGAGATTCCATTTTGGAATTTGGATGAATTTGGATCTTTGGCCTCATAAAATTGAAAGTTTCAAGGTTAGTAGTGACCCCCAAGGTTTCAAGATTTGGAAGTGAGAAAATGCAACTTTTGGCCGCCAAGGTTTGAAAGTTTCAATATTCTACGCCCGGGTTTACTACTAGTGCCCTGACGCTCCTCTAGTTTCAGCTGCCATTCATTGCCTATCATTCCTTTTTAAGATGCCGGTGGGTGGGAGCTGTCCAGAGGGCAATATAGAAATGTGTAGAGTACTTGAAAGGTGACCACTAAGATCATTCTATATGCAAGCATGAACATGTCAATTCTCAACATTGAACAGTAACATGTTCCCTTCAAGTCACGCGTCTAGGAAGACACGCAGCAGAAACGTAAACGTGTGTTTGCAAGTCTGACAGCTCCTTCAGGGTCTGCTTGTCCTTCAACACAACTTCTCCGTGCATCAAGTGCTGAAGCACCGGAGCCACACGCGCGGTCGAGTGACACTGAATGGCACCTGCATCGGTCGAGTACTGAGGGAGGGAGCGCGTAAACAACCGATAAATTGTGACGAACACATCACATGGTGGTTACGTGGATGGCATGGTCGCTTGGTTACGACGACTTTCCTTTACAAACGGTGAACGTTCACTTCCATGTGATGTGTTGCTACGGTCATCCAGGAGTTGGAAGAGAGAGACATTAAGACATTGAGATACATTGAGATTGATGGACAGATTGAGGGCGGAAGGTGGAAGGTGTCACAAGGAACAGAAACTGATCGTAACTCAGCAGAGAACGGTCCCTACAATTCGATCTACAAGGCCTTGTAGGGTCTCTCATGTCTAGGCATTCACAGTCCAAGTATGCCCAAGATGCAAGTGACTTGATGCAAACCATTCTACACGAAGTGCTAGTGATGCATTGAAACAACGAAACATCATAAGCATCAGCAAAAGCTTTGTGCAAGCTAACATCATTCCAAGAAGGATTTTACTTGTACGGCATCTTCCTTTCAGTTTGTTGTACCCGTCCACCTGGCCCACCAGATTGATGGGAAAAGCTGGAGCTGATAGGCTCCAAGCTGGACACTGCGAAGCAAGCTGGAGCTGGACACTAACCATAGTCCAGTCATGACTCATTTTACCGCTATGGTAGTGGTCAATTATGACTACCAGGTGGAGTAAAAGGAGTCAAGTTACGGATGTTTTTGGGGGTCAGACGAATCCCTCAGACCAACCTGAAAAAAAGAAAAACCACCGGGACACGAAGTTCCGAACTCACCGACAGCTTCTGCACCGGTTCGCACTGCACCGCAGCACCGCTGCGGAGCTGCGCCAATCGAAAATCCCACTCTCAACCATGCCAGAAGCTCGTCACAAGAGATCCTTGCTATAGAAATCGAGTCCCAAAAAAAATCTTGACTTGATGAGTTTCCATTTATGTTTGCCATGCTTCTTCGGTCTGGATTTTTACATCCACCCCCACAGTTGCATCCCACAAAACAGCTCGCCGCTCGCCTTTCAGGTCCAGCACGCAGCTCTCCAAAGGTCGCTCAAGACATGCCACCGCCTTGACCGAGCAAAGAGCCGCGGCGGCTAACCCTGCCGGCTTGGGATGATGGATAAATGAAAACACAAAAAAGGACCAAGGTTCACGTATCATCATGTATCATCATGATCACATGAGCGGTTCTCAAAACCTTGATGAAATCCCATGTCGTATCATTGTGCTTACGCCTGTGCTTACGCTGCCTTACGCGACTCACATCTTTGCTTACGCAGTGCACTTGGAGCAAGAAAGGCTTACGCAGACCTTACGCGACACCTGTTTTGCACAAAATGCAGCTGACACCACAACGCGAGCTTACGCGCTGCATACTATGTACAATGTACAATGGACATCTACTACACCTAAGCTTCCGATATGGATGCTCAAGAAGCACTTGAGGATGAGGACGAAGAAGAAGACTCGAAGGCAGAAGCAACCCAGCAGCAGCAGCAGACCAGCAGCAGACCTGCAGCAAACCTGCAGCAGACCTGCAGCAGCAAAAGCAGCAGCAGGAAGTGGAGAAGTGGAAGTGGAAGGGCGATGCGCGCAAACCACATTGTAATATAAGTAATATATATATATATAATAGAGGTCTTCAACCACACGCTGCCGCTGACGCAACGGTTCGGAGAAGGAGGCATGTGGGCTACTGGTGGAAAGGACACCGGAGCTTACGCAGAGCTTACGCGCCGGAACTCACAAAAATATACAAAAATCACCTGGAGTTTCTCATGTCTGACATGGAGGTTTGACTGTTCAGCTGTGGTGTTTTGGACTGTGTGTGTTCAGCAATTCGAGTTTGGAATGTGTATGTGTGTGGAGTTGAACTGTTCCTTGATCCTGGCACTTCTGAGAGGGGTGCTCATGCATTTCTCATGTATTTCTTCGGAGCTTACGCATGGCTTACGCAAAAGGTTTCCTTTAAACAAGCTTACGCAACCTTACGCGCGTGCAGGTTTTGCTTACGCACAACATCGATATGACAACGCACTGAGTGAATATGAACAGGAAGGTTTTTCGAATGGCTCACATGTCACAGGAAATCTGATACGTGTTTCTGTGCCTTTTTTCTGGATTCGTTGCGACCCTTCTCATCGCCCACCTCTCCACCCAGGCTCTGCACAGCCACCCTCACGTGCGTGTCCGCTACAGTGGCATCTGCCGCGTGCACGGCAGCTACGGCGTCCAGGTCCGAGGATGATAAAGCATCTGCAGCCATGGCGGCCATGGCATCAGGAAGCTGATAGACAATGGCTATACAAAGAAGTGCTCTACTGTCAACTGTTAAATAATGTTTTGACCAATTCATTGGCAATTTAATAAAGAAAAATAGACTTGTTTGGCTCTCACTCATCAGGGTGTCCTTCCGGTGGTTTGGTGACTGATTGACACTGAGGGATGACTTCAAATTGCACGGGATGCCGATGGCGAAGAAGCAGCCCCTGTCGCATGATGCCACTGTCGCATCTAGAGAACGGTCCATCTGTTGCAAACGTGTCCAGCAGTTTAGGGGTGCCCAATGATGCACAAATAGAGGCTAAAACCACTCCTTTGTGAAATGTTGGATGTCTCCAAACCGTGGGGTTTGTTTTGTCACAACGGGTTCAAGCATCGAGGAAGCTCCTGAACATTCCACCTCCACACAATATGTCTTTGAAAATGCTCATCCAAGAACCCCGAACGAATATCCAAGTGGAAATTCAGTGGGACGTGTATGCCCCAGTCCCCCAATCCGAGTGCCAGTGACGCGGGTGATGCACTTGTCCGGACCGCGGTTGGGGCGGACCTGGTGGGGGAAAGCCGCGGTTTCGAAACCAGTGTCAGTAAGTCAAATGGACTGAGTGAATCCTGTATCATATAGGTTAGAAGAATGCAGAATAGATTTGTAGGCGTATGGACCAGATATAGATAATATATATCCAAAGCCTTGCCAAAGGATCTGTGTTTTCATGCCAAGAAAACAACATCCATTTAAAACATAAAACACTCCCTTCCAAAACAAACACGAATCCTGCCGCAGTCGCTGGCGCCAAGGCACGTCGTGTTGAGCATTGGTGCCTCCCATGCGGTTAGCCGGGCTGTACTCGGTCAAATCGAGTGGCACGTCGTTGCGCACGTAGTTAACAACCAAACCAACATGGCAGCAACATGGCAGATGTGTTTAACAGTGTTTAACAGTTAAACACGTGGTGTACTTCTCATCAGTTTAGCCCGCAAAATGCTGGAGTAAGATGCGCTTTTGGCACCAGACCTAAACATCCAAAAAAGCTCCGTGGATCATCCACAATCACACAAAATCGTCCCAACTCTTCAACTCCAAAAACTGAGATTCTTGGATTCACTGGAAAACCCCCTGCCAGGTTCGCTCGCGAGCGAGCTCGGCATCCGAGCTGTGTCGAGCCATGTGGCGAAACGATGTGGTGAGCGGCGGAATTCCACTGAGCGATCTGCCCCGACACCCCAAAGAGACCTCGCCTCGACCGGCAGAGGAGCTGCAGCCCATGAGCCATCGAGCGGCTCGCGGTCAACGCGGTTTTGGCGGGTGGGATGCGGCGGGAGGTGCGGCCGGTGGGATGGGTGGGGCTTGAGAGGTGGTTGACTGGAGGTGCTGGGTGAGGTGGGAAAGCTATTTGAAGGGCGTGAGGCGATGTGAGATGTCTAGGCTGTCTAGGTGTTTGGATCTCTTTCGGAGTCTCTACCGGCTTGAGTTGGACTTCTTCGTTCGTAGCTTCGCACCGGTCGGGCAGAGCTCTGAGTGATTGGAGATCGGTCTGATCTTCGTGCGGCGATGAGCGATCTTCGGTCCTGGCGATCGGCTTTGGCCGATCTTCCCTAGATCTGATCAGGGCTAGTGGTGGTCAGCCCCTTAAATAGGTGGAAATGGTTGGCTGGGCTCTTCCCCACCAGTTGCCCACAAGTCGTGGACTTCCATGGGCTTCCGGACGCTTGGCTCGTATATACCTACTTGTTGGCTCTCTTTGAATGCTTGGCTGGGTGAATCTCACGCTATAAGCAAAGGCGCGGTTTGGCGGGCGGCAAGAGATGTTTTGTGGAAACTTGCGGTTTGCGTGCTGCAGCTTTTCATGACATATACCCTCCCTTCAGCAAACCCTCCCTTCAGTGGAGTGAAAACCACCTGTTGGTATGAGGATTTCATGGTCTTTCCAGGCGCCGTGGTGCCATCCACGATGCTCCATGAGGACGTTGGGAGGACGTTGGGAGGGTCAAAAACCGAAGATCAACCCACCAACGTGAACAAAACCTGTGGCCTCAATCCTCCAAAATCAGCCTCAAGAGGGCCTCCTCTCCATCCACTCTCAACCGAACAGCGTCTGGCATCATGGCGACATCGACCGGTCGTTCCCACCGAACATGAACAGAAAATAGACCACGTACTATAGAGAGGAGGTCCCACCGCCCCCAGAATTTGGAGATGTTTGCTCCAGGTGCCATCCACGATGTGTTGACCCTCATGGATCCCCTCTCCGAAGTTCCACACGGCGTGTGGCAGCCACACTGCGACCGGAAAACGCCGTACGGACTCGTCGAGACGGATCCAAAGAACTGCTCCAATGGCGATGGCAGAGGCACTCACAGTCCAACTAGCCGCGTTCTTTCGGAGAGGCACTCATCCACCGCTGTTTCGCACCACGTGGTCACGAAACCGTCTCATTCATCCAATCTCATCCACCAACCAGTTGAAGCGACGAAAAGGTGAAGTCTTCAAAGTCTCGAGTGGTGCTTCGAAGCTTGTCGGAAGTCCCAACCGGGGCCGTTGCGGACGTCGAACTCCAACGACTCACCGTGAACTTCTGCTCCCGGGGTCCGGTTCCCCGGGGTCCCCTGGCATCCTTCACGCTCTGGTCCGCCTGAGTTGAAGGAGGCAGGGAGCCAAACCCTGGAGAAACCAGGGAGAAACGGGTGAACCCATGAGGTCTGGCTAACGTCTCTGTGGCTCAAAGAGCGAAGCTTCGCCCGGATCGCTCGGCTTCGTCCGGATTCGTCCGCAAAGGAGAAGCGGGATGTTTGATGTAGTGAACTGACGGCAGCCGGGTGTTTTCGAAGGTGGAGCAGCCGCGTTCGATGTCCAAACTCAACGGTCTACAATCCTCGCTAAAGACTGGAAGTGTCATGAGTATGTTAGTGTCATGGGTGTGGAATCTTTGTGATTCACCCAAACATGGATTAAAAACACCTCTTCATACGGAGGGGGGTTTTTAATCAGCCTCTCTGCATGAGTGTCGTTGCTCGTCATACACTTTTTGTTGCTCGTCATCATGGCTACGTGGATGCCATGGCCCCAAAAGGATGACCACGACGTTCTCGGACGACCAACACGCCGTGGTTGGCATTGCCCACGACACCCGGCAGCAGCGGAGACACACCCGGCACCGCACGGCACCGCATGAAAGGAGCCAGGAAGGACCGAAGGCGGAGCGATCCGGAGCGGGTTCGTCTTGTCAATGTTCGAGTGAAGAGCGGTTCAGGATCCCAATCTATACATCATCTAGAGTTTAGAGTCTAGAGATGGTCAAGTACTGCACAACATGGCCTGTTGGAAGAAAAAGAAAGGAAGTCCTCACCTACCAGCTTTCTTGGCTGTTTCTGGTCATCAATGGCTCTCCCCATCCTAGTCATCTACTATCAACCCATCACCCCAAATTCTATCACCTGGTGCAGGCCAATACCCTTTGTGGGGTTCATGCGCCCTTTCTTGCACTGGCCATGCCTTTTTTACCGTTTTCATCACAAGGATTCTGGGCAAAATCACAAGCTTTGCCCACTTGCCAAGGAGGAAGAAGGTGGAAGAAGGTGGTTTTCCCCACTGGCCCACTTTATCACTTCAGCGATTCTGGGCCAAATCACCCACTTCTGCCAGTCTTTCCACTCGGTGCCATCGGCCAACAACCTCCGCGCCGACAGTTGGCACCTCGGACGGACGTCCCAGGCATCCCGACCCCCTGGGAGGTTAGGAACTACTAGACCAGGCTGGCACAGCCTAGCCAGGATCAGCTAGGTCGAATACTATTCAAGAACACATGGTCACATGCTTCAGAAGCGAAAAATGTCACATGGTCTCCTCTTTGCATCCTATTCCGACTATCCCACACAGCTAAGTGGAAGCTGGACAAACAAGAGACTGGTGATGCTTGACCAGTCTGTTTGACACGGAAGTACCACAGGAAACAGCAAAACGACACGAGCTCTGCCATGTTTGGCTTCAAACTTGTTGGGACTGTTTCCACATCTGCGCCACTCTCTCCCCACCTCTGCTCCACCTCTTTGGGTCCCGGGCGTCTCTTGGAAGCCGATGACGCAAATATCTGGCGAGGGATCCTGTCTGATGAGTCAATGAGGCGAAGCCATGGCAAGATGTCGCTACCCAAAAAGGATCAAACGTCTCAATGCTGATTCAAAAAACTACCTCAGAATGCTTCGACATCTCCAAGTCTGTCCGTACCTGAGGAGGTGGGCCAGCCCACACTCTGACTGTCTCACATCACATGGTGGAAGTGGATCGCATGGTCCCGTAAGGAAGACGACTGTCCTTTACGAACAGGGTGTCAACTCTAGACTGTGGATGAAGCAAAAATTGCCACAGGACAGGACTCATGCAAAAGCATGCAAAAGCATTATTTTTTTTTGGATGGCTTGACCCAACCAATTCTGAATCCAAATTCTCTCTCACCACCCAAAACATCACGTGCATCTTGTGAGCTTGTCGCATGTGGCGAGTCGTGGTGGTGGTGTGGCAGGTCGTGGTGGTGTCGCGCGTGGCGAGCGCTGCGATCCAACCGGATCCGACCACCGGACTCATCACGGCTTCCATGGGCCTCATCCAGCACCGCTTCCAGTGAGGCGCCCCGCTGCGGCAGCGTGGCGCCCACATTCCAGGTCAAACAGAGCCTCCGCGCCGCAGGATGCGGCGGAGACGCGCTCGGCTGATCTCAAGTTGTCTCGATCTTCAAACGAACCGCGTCGTGCTTCTTCACGGGTTTAGGGTCACAGCCAGGAGACAGATCGGAGAGTTTTCTGAGGACGCCGGTTTTGCTTTGGTGATGGATTGGGATCGGTCGAGCTGGGCGCTTTGGGATCCGTGTTGGGGGATCCGTCGACGTTCCCATTCGTCGTCTCTGCCGTAACGATCAATGAATCATTGGTTCTGACCACCAGACCAGAGGGTGACGTTCCCGAAACCCGAAAAGCTTACCTGCCGAAAAGTGGTCAACGGCGGATCGGTCAAATGGTGGCCTGTGAGTGATCTAGCTGAAGAATCAGACAGATCTGTGTGCAGAACTGACGGCTGCATTGTTGCAGAAAGCTGCGACCAACATGGATTGAGGACATCACAGGTTAAATGGATACTCCTCACATCCACACCATATTCACCACCATTCATGTGCAGAAGGCAAAGCAGAAGACAAGCATGTGGCACGCTTTGTGCCACAAACAGGCAAAGAGTCTTGAGGAATTTGTTCATATTCCAATGGAATGATTCCAAGGGTACCAATTTTGATCCCCGCAAGGGTACCAATCCGCCAGTGCACAGATAGGATTTCGCAGTTTTTACTCGTTGCTCGGGCTGGCGCTGGAGTTGGACTCGCATTGCCCGTCACATGGTTTCCTCTGGCGATCTAAAAAATGGTGTCGTTGCACACGAAACTGTGAAAACGTACAGATCAGCGTCACAACTTCAACAAACCCATACTGTGATCTGGTGTCTTTAACTTATAATCTGACTATTCAACAATACAACTTCACATACTATCAACCCATATAAATCATCCGGTGTCTTCTTGAATTTGCGCCGGCTCATCGACCGCATCCCATGTTCTTCTGGGTTCAAAAATGCGTTTCTGGCTCTCCCACTTCGACCCCCTAGAAGAAGAAAAATGGACCAGTCGGCCAGCGGGATTTGCCTATCCAAATACATCTCCATAACCCAGACACTCCATGGGACTGCCATATATGCCGATCAATTGACCCCTCAAAGTACCTCAGCTGATCGGCATACCATACATGGAGTGTTTGGGTAATGTCACATGCTTCAGTGCCATGAACATCCCCATGCTCCAAGTGATTTCCCCTCTGTGGACCCGGCATCCGTAGGCGCCGATCGTCTTGCGAGCTCAGCTCTCCTCAGCATCCGTAGGCGCCACGTGTCACGGGACGTGGGAAAAAGTGAGATCTGACCTACAGAGCTTCACAGCCTTCGCTTCACAGCGTCCGATCGCTCCGTTCGTAGTAAGGCCAGGAGCCCGTTCGTAGCGTCCGATCGCTCCTCATATCAGAAAAAATGAGCTGAAAGAATCATGGTTACATGGATTCTTTAAATGAAAATAGCCCATTGGTTTATGAATCAGCCGCCTCCATTGGTGTCATTGCAGGATATTCTCCCATGTTCACCATCACGTAACCACGTGGATTTGCTGGATGAGCATGGCCAAAAGGATCACGAAATCCAACTCCCAAAGAGGTGGTGATGATATCGTGTTCAGTTGA